AGATTTGGAAAAATAAACGACTACCTTTATAGCTATTTAATTATAGGGAAATTAAGTTATCTAACCCTTATAAATGATCATTTTAACAAAAATAACATTTTTTATAAAATGACCACATGCTCTCAAACATAGCATTCCGAAATAGTGGTATCCGTTCCGGAGTTCCAATTCCGGATTATAACCTCAGTTTCTGTCTCATATATATATATATATATATATATATATATATATATATATATATATATATATATATATATATATGATCAAATGAGAACACCAAAAATATTGAGAACGCGAGAACAAATTATATTCATTTGTGATTCCATGTATTCATTTGTGGAGAAATAATAAATTTTTACGCCTTTAATTTCATTTGAAGAGAAAAAGCATATTCATGTTGATTGTGCGTAAAAAGTTATCATTTCTCCACAAATGAATACATGGAATCACAAATGAATATACTTGTTCTCGCGTTCTCAACCTTTTAGGTGTTCTCATTTGATCATTTCCATATATATATATATATATATATATATATATATATATATATATATATATATATATATATATATATATATATCTGTGTGTGTGCCCGCAATGCTTAGAACCTTACCTTCAACCAAGTAATTCGTAATTATCTATTATAATTGCTTCAAAGTAAGTTTCACAGAGAGTGAGCACAAAGAAAGCTTTAACATCCTATCTGTTTACCTTCACAACCTTAGGTGAACCAACCCGCATACTTACACTTACATCAAAACAGATTTGACGAATCATTTTGAACCTTGTTTTGTGGTTATTGGATGGGTGGTACATTTGTTTTTTTTTTTTTTGCATTTTTTATTGTTTCTTTAAAATTGATAATGTTTCTACATCTAAACTAATTCGTTTTTGTTTCAAAAAAAAAATACAGGTTCATGCATTTATAGGCTGCTTTTTGCATGTCATCATCATAGGTAGTGTCCCTCTTAGAGGGGACTACCTAAAAACAATGTTTGTAGCGGGTGCTATTGACGGGAACAACAAGACCCTCCCTATAGCATTTGGTCTGACCGTGGAAGATAATCTCTATTATTGTACCTGGTTCCTGATGAGGCTAAAAGTGATGGAAAACGTAGGTTACAAAACAATGCTCTAAGCGAAAAAAATATTTAACAATTAAATGATTAGGGCACATGCAACCTAAGAGGATCTATGTCTTTCACATAAAGGCAACATACTATGAGCTATCAAACTACAAAAACCCTAATGAAATCATAATTCATAAAGGAAGATTACATACCTCTTGATTTGTTATTGTAAACAAATCTAAAAATCCTTCTTCAAAACTTTTGGAAGCAAGCACCAGAAACCGCGTGCCTCTGATGGTCCACACCCAACCCTAGCAACTAGGAGACTTGAAGACAGAGGAGAGATGGGATCAAATTTTCGGCCTTGGCTCTTAGAAAAGGGGTGGCCTAAAATTATAGCTCATAGGGTCTATATATACTTGAATTAGGAAACCCTAGATAACCCTAATTTGAATAAAATAATATTAATTCAAATTAGTAATTATCCAGCTTCCTATTTATCTGCAAGGAATATTTCAGATGCCCTAGAATACCCTTAGAAACCGTCCACCCCTTCCAAGGAAGGTTCTGGAACCTCTTGCTCAACTATTGAACAATTACAATTAGACCCTTGCACTTTTAACTAATTCAATTAATCCCAAAATTAGTTCTAATTAATTTCTGATTAGATCTTAATTAACTATTACTATTTCTAATCAATATATTATTTTCATAATATATTAATAAATTCATTTATTGTTATTTATTAATAATATAATAAATCAATAAATCAGTCTCTCTTTCTAAAAGTCATCCTAATCAATTACTAGGTTTGAGGGCAACCCAAAAGGACTTTGCTAATAATTCAAGTATATCCTAATTTAGTTATTGGATTAGATACCTAATCCAACAAAAAGAAGCTCTCACACAAGTTAGGGAAGTGTCGTTCATAACAAATATAGATGATGTCGTTAGTTCTTGCATAGAGCATGTATTCCCTGATTCTTATCATGGGTATACTTCTAAAAGTGTGTTCAAGTATATGCACACAAGAGGTGTCTCTGGCAGAACATTAAATCCTTGTTCTGGATGACATCCAACTCATATACTGTGTCTGATTTTTGAAGAAAACTTCTGTTGCCTGACCCCTAATGCTCGTGAAGTGCTTTCATTGGTCATGCGAAATGGGCAAGAACTTATTTCCCTAACATCCGTTGGAATGTAGTCAACATTGATGTTCCCAATTTTTTTGGGTGTTATCGGTAAATCATTGCAATGTACTGATAATAACGCTTACCGAGGTAATTCATGACCAATCCTAACATCACTACTAAGCACAAAATGATAAGTCCCAATCTTGGTAACAGGAGAAGGTTACCTATTTCCCATGATCAGATTCATCCTCCCATGCTCCACCTCCTCACTTTCTTTTAGCCCCTGCAAGTCAGAACAAATATGAAACCCACATCATGTATCAAAGACCCAAGAACGAGTAGATTGTGAGTTATTATTTTGAATAGTGTATATACGTGCTGACGATGGCTTCACCTTGCCATCCTTGATGTCTTGTAAGTATTTGGGGCAGCTCCTCTTCCAATGGCCCTTGTCATTGTAATAGAAACAAATGGCCTCTTTGGGGCCACTAACAGCTGGAATGTCTGAATTGGGCCTTGTCTTTGGGTCATTTCTAGACGACCCAACTTGGGCCTTGTCCTTCCAGTTAGCTTTGGGAGCAGCCTTCCTCTTCTTCCCTTTGCCTTTACTATTGGCAAGAACAAGAGCATTAGTGGAAGGGTCTGGATTCTTTTCAATCATTCCCGACTCAACAGTCTGTAGCAAGTTGTGGAGTTGGGCCAATGCGGCTTCTGTGTTGTTCAAATGATAAGCCAATATGAACTGATCATGACAACTTGGCAAGGAGTTCAAGACCATGTCAATGGCCAACTCCTCATCAAAAATGCACATTTAGCCTAATAAGGCGTACCACGTATCTTTGCATTCTTTGCACGTGGTTGCACACAAACTCTCCCTCTTTCATCTTTCAAGCCATGAGGGACTTAACCACTTTATATTTCTCTTGATAAGCTCTCTTGTGGTACTTTTCCACAAGGTTATTTTTCATCTCATATGGCCAGTAGTCCTCATAGAACCTATGCAACTCCGGAGCCATTGTAGCGACAATGATGCAAGAAACTTTCGTTGCATCATCGTAGTGTTTCTTGTAAGAGGCTAGTTGTTCGGGAGTAGCTTTGGCTTCATCGATTTCAACAAGTTTTTCTTCAAGGACATACTCTTTGCCCTCGAATCAAAGATCCATCTTGATATTTCGCATCCAATCATTGTAGTTGGTGCCATCAAAGTTCACTTTGGACACGATAGAGAGTAGGGAGAAACCCGAGTTGTGGGTAGACCACGATGGAGTAGAAGCATCACCATGAGTAGACATCTATAGACAAAAAGAATAGTTTTAGTTAGATGACAATAATCCTTAATGTTTTAACCCATAATATATAATTAAGGCTATGATCCAAAATAACAATTCACAACTAAGAAGAGGGATGCCATAATCTTATTGCGAATTTATGAAGGTAGGTAAACGCAATTTACCAATTTCGAACTATGAAATTCCTAGATCTTTTAAGATTCATTGAATCTATCAATGGAATGTTTCATCTCAGATTATGCTCTTCTATTTGTGACTGGGATACCGAGGATCACAAACAATATGTGAATAACCATACAAATATGCTTGGTACTCTCGATGGCATTTATCATCTCATATTAATGAACCGGTTAACAACACGTGCTCTGTTAATCAATGATAATTTTCGAGATGCCCATTATTAGTCTTTATAGTCACTATTAGTGTGCCGGTTAATCACACGCACTCCACTAACTACTATAAAGTATAATGTGTAATTTTATGGATTAGCATACTTTTCACATTTTCCTAAATTAACTACGAGTGAGATTTTATAAAAAGGTTGAGTTACTTTTATAACATTATACTTATTAATGTGATCATGTCCTATCAAATCCGTTCGGATAACGACCCTCCACCAAACAAGGAAGCGGTGGTGAGAGTGGACACTCATTCAACTACCATTTTATAGGCAGTTTCCATATACCCCCCTCCCCCCCCTTATAGTTCAGCTTCATGAATGAGGCGTAATAGCGATTTGACTGACTTTGTCTTATACATATAATATATATTAAACTTTTGATTATATATATATATATATATATATATATATATATATATATATATATATATATATATATATATATATCAAGGTTGCAGAAATCGCTCGCCGGTAGCTTGACGGTGGACTGGGGTCAAGGGATTAATCGGCTAGGCGGGGATTAATCGGGGACCATTAATTATTAAAAAAATTAATAAATATAACATTAATCCTAAGAATATAAGTAAAAAAATTAACAAGTTAATAAATATAACATTAATGATGAATGCTAGGTGTCCTTGGCCATGTAATTCTCAGTTTGTGACCACGTTTTACAGGAACAGTCTTCTGATTCTCTGTATACAAGAGTGGAAAGAGGTTGTGACTAAAAGATTATCAATAAAAGTACACAATAATTGAACAACCAACTTGTTAAATCCCTCGTAGTTGCATCAGATGACATTAGTGGTTTGATAAAGAATTGTGAAAAACTATACAAGAAAAGACACGATAAGAAAACAGATTAGTTGAATTCTACAAGGACAAAATGGGAATACCATGAACTAATTAAAGAATTGCCAAAAACGAGTGAAATGTACCTATCTAAAGCCTCTTTAAAACAGTCAGCATTAACATCAAAGTAGTAATTGGTGTGCTTAGAGGATGTATAGGCATTGGTACGACCTCCATGCTATAAGTTGGTAACAAATATTTTGAGTAAATGTGATCATTAGAACTGATAATAAGCTAGACAAGAACATAACATTATATGCATCTTTGTGATTCATCTTCTATGAAAGAACTTGAGTACCAAAAGGAAGAAGGAAAAGTACAATATCAAGTACCTCATATATGTATGTAGAATAACAATCCTCCAAAGGGTACTTCTCACTTGCATAAAACAACATGTGTTCTGCAGATCATAAGAACTTTGAAATTAGAATTGAAGCTTAAGTGATTCTAACTTCATGATTCTTTTCATTTTTTACTTGAATGTTCCCATTATCATCTCAATCAGAACCAGAACGTTAGGGCAAAAAAAAAAGAGAAACCCCAATTTCACCAATCTATTCTCAAAATCATTGAATTTGAAATCAATTTGAGTGGAAAAGAACTTAATCGATGATTCATATGGAAGTGTATGTTTTTATGGTGGACTGAGGAGTCAATTAGGGTTGGAACATACCTGGTTCATCGATACCATCAACCCAGTCCATGTTAAACAAATTCACTTACTGGAAACTAAAAACTAACATATTCTTTACAAAAAATAATTTCAAATCAGAAGTATGTCATTAATCTCATATGGAAGAAGGACCACATTAATCTAAAATCATAAATTAGCCTCCCATTTTCTTCCCCAAATAATTTCTAGAAATTGAAATTTGTACAACAAATAGAAGAATGAGAAGTGGAGACTGGAGACTAACCTGAATGAGAAGTCAGAATATGAGCAGAAGGCGCCAGACGAGGAACAGAAGGCGTCGGAGCCTCACACAGAAGCTTCAGCAGAAGACGACGAACTTCAGACAAAACTGATGTGCTTCATACGAACTTCAGACAAGGAAGATGGCGGCATCGTGAATAGAGAAGAAGATGGTGACGCCGTGAATAGAGAAGAACATGGCGGCGTTTTCGTTTGTTCAGTCCGACAGAGAGAATTTCAAAATGGAAAAAAAAATTGAATGTGATGGAATGGGTTAATTGGAAGGAACCCTACCATCAATTTTTACATTTTGACAATTTAGCCCCTCAAAGTTTTTAATTTTCGTTGACCTGCTTTGACCAATTAGAGCGCCTAGACCCGCCTAGCTCCGATAATCTCCGGCTTTGACCGATTTTGACCACGTCCGATTAGAGAGGCCGATTAGCTATTAACGTCATCAGTTGAGGACCGTCAAGCGCATAGGCGCCGATTAATCGGCCGCCTAGGCCGATATTTGCAACACTGGTATATATATATATATATATATATATATATATATATATATATATATATATATATATATAGTATACGGTGTATTTTAAAAACTTTTCTAAAATACAAGGTTTATTAAATTTTTTGAAATTAAAGAATTAATTTAATTTAAATAAACCAATTAAGATTTGACATTAATTATTAGAATTAATCAATATCTAAATTAATCATTTACACACTAAAAAAATTAATTATATTAATCAATTAAATAATTACTCAAGTCAAAGATTTATCTCCTAATTTGTAGACTTTTATATTAATTATCAAATATATAGGCAAATTTAAATTTGGCAGATATAAAATAGATAATTACCAAATAATAAGCATCCAAAAACAGATTAGGCGGATAAAACCGAAAAAACTGAATTTTTCCAGATCTCACGTTGTGAGCATCAACTCTCACGTCATGAGATCCAAAAAATAAAAAATTTTGTTTGTTCAAATCACTAATGTGCAATTAGATGAAAGATAGTCATATGCTGTGATACCACTAATGGAAAACGCATGTTACAAAATAATGCTCTAAGCGGAAAAACATTTAACAATTAAATGATTAGGGCACATGCAACCTAAGAGGATCTATGTCTTTCACATTTAGGAAACATACTATGAACTCTCAAACTATAATAACCCTAATGAAATCAGAATTCATAAAGGAAGATTACATACCTACTGGTTTGTTATTGTAAACAAATCTAAAATCCTTCTTCAAAGCTTTTGGAAGCAAGCACCAGAAATCTTGTGCCTCTGATGGTTCACACTCAACCCTAACAACTAGGAGACTTGAAGAGAGAGGAGATAGGAGATCAAATTTTTGGTCTTGGCTCTTAGAAAAGGAGTGGCTGAAAATTGTAGCTCATAGGGTCTATTTATACTTGAATTAGGAAACCCTGGATAACACTAATTTGAATCAAATAATATTAATTCAAATTGGTGATTATCCAGCATCCTACTTATATGCAAGGAAAATTCCAGATGCCCTAGAATACCCTTAGAAACTGTCCACCCCTTCCAAGGAAGGTTCTGGAACCACTTGCTCAACTATTGAACAATTACAATTAGACCCTTGCACTTTTAATTAATTCGATTAATCCCAAAATTAATTCTAATTAATTTCTGATTAATTCTTAATTAAATATTACTATTTCTAATTAATATATTATTTTCATAATATATTAATAAATTCATTTATTGCTATTTAATAATCATATAATAAATCAATAAATCAGTCTTTTTCTCTAAAAGTCATCCTATTCAATTACTAGGTTTCAGGGCAACCTAAAATGACTTTGATAATAATTCAAGTATATACTAGTTCAGTTATTGGCTTAGACACCTAATCCAACAAAAAGAAACTCTCAGACAAGTTAGGGAAGTGTCGTTTATAACAAATATGGACGACGTTGTTAGTTCTTGCATAGAACATGTATTCCCTGATTCTTATCATGGGTATACTTCTAAAAGCGCGTTCAAGTATATGCGCACAAGAGGCGTCTCTGGCAGAACATGAAATCCTTGTTCTGGATGACATCCAACTCATATACTGTGTCTGATTTTTGAAGAAAACTTCTGTTGGCTGACCCCTAATGCTCGTGAAGTGTTTGCCAACATCGGTCATGCGAAATGGTCAAGAGCTTATTTCCCTAACATCCGTTGGAATGTAGTCAACATTGATGTTCCTAATTTTTTTGGGTGTTATCGGTAAATCAATGCAATGTACCAATAATAACGCTTACCGAGGCAATTTGTGACTACATTCAACGGACTTTCGTTGAACGCAGTTTAATGGCATGTAAAATACCTGGTGCAATATTAAATTATTTATTTACTTGTACAAGAACCTTATTTGATCATATTTACTTTTCAGGGAGGTTGACTAATGTAGTCACCTCATATGCTGAAATGGTGCTTCATAAAAGGATGCGAAAGTTTGTTCGGTGGCAAGCAACAAAGATCCCGCCAGAGATTCCGTCTTCGCTCCCATCCGATATTTATCGAGTTTTTGATTTTTAAAAAATTTATGTTATTGATGTGAACCGTCATACATGTTTATGTGGGAAATGGCGCAGTCTGGGTATAGCGTGAGGTCATGCTATTGCAGCATCACGTCCTTCGAACATCCATGAATTACCTGATAGAGTTCGGATATATTATCAGGCTGATGTGTTTCAGACTGCCTACCAGACATAAACCATGCACCCTCTTCCCCTCCATCAGAATGGGAAATACCAGACCCTTTGATGTCTGTTTTATTGCCAATGTAATTGCAATTAATTATGTTTGTAATTGATTTGCAGTGTGTAATGGAAAATATTATTATTTCCCTGATATTTGTTACATATTACAAAGATAGAAAAAAACATAGTTTACAAGTACCATAGTAATAATAAACAAACACACAAACATTACATATTACATAGATTAAGTAATAAGCGTTGCAGAAACTTAGTTGATGAACATAAAGCTTACAGATAAAACCAGACTGTGGTCCCTGAAAATTTAAGATCAAACACATGACGTATATTGTGTAAATTAATATTAATTAAAAGAAAATTTATGAAATGATAACTCACATACCTCTTTAGGACAAACGTAAAAAAATCCGTCTATGGTTATTTCTAGTAGTTGATGTCCTTATAATACCTTGAGAGCCACAATCGCAGTATTTCATTTGGATTATGAGAAATGAATTTTTATTAGTAAATTTAACAAGGTAAAGAGTTTGGATGCTTGAATTCCTTTATATAATGGCATTTAGTACGGGCATAGATTCCTGACACTATTCCAGAAACACTTCCCGGAGCCACATTCCGGAATTGCTATTTCAGACCCTAAATTCGGAACAGTAATTTTCATAGATTCCTAAATTTGGAATGGCTATTTCAGACCCTAAATTCGCAATTTCTATTTCAGACCCTCATTCCGGAGCCACTTTCTAGAATGACTATTTCGGACCCTTGTTCCGGACATCGCTTTTGGACCTTAAAATGCACCTAGCATGCATCCTCAATGTAGAAAAAAAATTGAAATGAGTTCATCTCACAATGTTGTTTGGCATTGTGAAGAAGAAGATCGTTATGTTTGTTCAGAGAATAACCCGTTTCCGGAAGGCCTAGATTTCCTACTCCCGAATAAAATGTCTGATGACATTTTCCAAGCTATGAAATCTCTATATGGTATCAGATTAAGGTTACGATTCTATTTCCCCACTTACATCATGACTACCGACGGCTCTTCTTCTTCCTCTTCAGACTCTCCTCTGTCTCTTGCTACTATCCTTCACATGATTACAGTCAAGCTTTCTCCCACAAATTACTTGCTTTGGCGAAATCAGATCCAAACCCTTCTTGCTTATTAGAAATTGTCGGGCCATATTGATGGTTCCTTATCTGCACCACCTCCAACAAAAGCACCTGATGCTGCTGGCATTTCTGCTCCAAATCCTGATTATGTAGCTTGGCTTGAAGCAGATTAAAAAGCTTTTCTTATCATTCAAGCTTCCATATCTGAAGTCGCTATGGCTGAAACATTAGGGCTAACTACTGCTTATGAGGTATGGAACTCTCTCCAACGAGCCTATCGACAGGATTCTTAAGAAAGGATGCAAACACTCAAGGATACTCTTAGACAACTTCAAAAAGGTTCGTCCACTGTCTCTGAGTTTGGTGCCAAGTTCAAGGGCCTTTGTGATCAACTTTCTGCAATTGGTCATCCTGTGAATGAACTTGACAAATGTCATTGGTTTCTCTGTGGACTTGGAGCATTGTTTGAAACATTCTCCACCACTTATCGAGCAATCAAACCTACTCCTCCTTTTCGTGATCTGGTCTCACAAGCAGAATCACACGAGTTGTTCCTCACCTCCATTCACGGCTCATCTACTCCTGTTGTTGCCTTCACTGCAAATCGGCAACCCTCCTCAGTCTCTCATTCTCGTGGAAACACCTCTTCTGGTCGTTCCTATGGTCGTGGACGTGGCTCTAATAATGGTGGTTGAGGTCATGGACGTCGTCCACCACATTGTCAACTCTGTAGGACCAATGGCCATTACGCAAGCTCCTGTCCAGATTTGGCATCATATGCTCGCCAAGGTCCTGTTGCCAACACAAATTTGGCTCAAGCCTTTCACGCCCAATGTCATGTCACTAATGACTCACCTGGCTGGTATGTTGATTCAAGTGCAACAACCCACATGACTTCATCTCCTAAATCTTTGGATTCAACCACATCTTACACCGGACATGATCATGTTGTGTTTGGAAATGGTAATGCTTCTCCCATTTTACATATTGGTAATAAATCCTTTTCCAAATATCTTAAACTCTCAAATGTTCTTGTTGTCCCTAATATCACCAAAAATCTTCTCTCCATTAGTAAATTAACTAATGATTCTCACGTTGATGTTTTATTTTCTAAACCATTCTTTGCTATTCAGAATCGAGCAACAAAGGAAATCCTAGCAAGGGGAAAATATGAGAACGGGTTGTATGTGCTTAAGCAAGGACATCAAGTTTTTCTTTCTAGTTTAAAGTCTTCTACATTACGTGCATCTTATGAGTTATGGCACAATAGATTAGGGCATGTTGCATTTGATACTATAAAGCTATTGAATAAAATGGGTGTTTTATCTGTTACTTCTTTATTACCAAAACCACATGTTTGCTCTTCGTGTCAGCTATCTAAAAGCAAGAAATTGCCCTTTCAACC